GGGCTGGGGGTCCCGCCCGGGGGTCCCAGCAAAGGAAGCTGGGGGGGCCCCTGCCCGGCTCAGGAGCAGCCCCCCAGGAGCCCCCCTGAGAACCCCACCACCCCAGTTTGGGGGAGCTGCCGGAGCGGGACCGCTCTGATCCCTGCGGATTTACATTCCTTAATTGTTTCAGAAGGCCCCATGTGATGCTGAAAAACGTGGGATCAGCCCCGGGAGAAACCGAGGGGGATGGTGCTGCCCCCCGAGGGGCCGCGGCGGCGGATGGGGCAGTCCAAACTGGGGACACTGGGCTGCGCTGGGTGGGCTCCGTCCCCCCGGGGTCCCCGCCGGTCACGGGGTGTCGGGGTGCCCGGGGTGCCCCGCTGCCCGGCGGTGCCCGGCGGGAGGACACGGCCGGGCTGGCGGGGCCCGGCGCGGTGGGACACGGGGCAGCACGGCCCCGGCCCCGCCGCCGCCGGGCTGCGGGGTGCCCAGACCCCCCGAAAGCCCCGGGCCGGCCCCGTCCCCCTGCCCCCAGCCGGGTCCCCCGGCCCAGCCCAGCCCCAGGGCCGCTCCCCCGGGAAGGTCCCGGGGCAGCGGGGCCGAGGGGGCCGGGCACGTGCGGTACCGGGCCGAGGGTCGGGCTGGGGCCGTGCCAGGGAAGGTGCGGGGCCGGGGCCGCTGCGGAACCGGGGCCGGTGCGGGGCTGCGGAACCGGGGACGGGCCGGGGAAGGTGCGAAGCCGGTGCGGGGTCTCGGAGGGGCACCGAGGGGTCTGGGAGGGGCACTGCGGGGCCGGGCTGCTGCGGGACTTGGGGATTGCGGGGCCGGTGCGGTGCCGGGGAAGGTGCGGGGCCGGGGGTCCGGGGCCGGTGCGGAGCCGAGGGCGGTGCGGGGCTGCTCCCGCCCGCGGCTCCTCCCGTCCCGCTGGGCTCCACCCGCCCGCCGGCCCCGGCGATATTTAACCTGGGCCGGGGCGGGGAGCGGCGGCGCCGAGCGGGGACGGAGCCGACCCCGAGCCAGCGCAGCCCGACCCCGCTCAGGCACCGCCGGGACCCCGCGCCGGCCCCGGGCTGCGGCACAGCGAGGGAGCCGAGGGGGGCAGGACGAGAAGGGGGCTGCGATCTGAGCCGGACCCCAGCGCGATCCCCGCGCCCGCCCCGCGTCTCCCGCAGCCGCCGCCGCTTGTCCCGTCCCGTCCGGCCATGCGAGCCCCGGCCCCGCTGGCGCTGGGTTGCGTCAGCTTCGCGCTGTGCCTTCTGGAGCTGCCCCACGGCCGGGCCCTGCCGCCGCGCAGGTGAGGGA